AGAAGGTAGCGGATACTCCCATTTCGTGAGTAGTGGTTGACCTAGACCTGATGAGTTAAGAGTTAAGAGATAACCAGAGAGAATAGAACAGTTTTTATTTACAAAAAATTAACATTGATAATAATTAAGACCTAAAGTTTGTGTACACTAATAGTCGATTGGTCTGCCTTTGTTCTTTAGGACTTTTTCGTGTCTCTTCGGCATCGAATTGATCAACTTTGTCATGAAGTCATTTTCTATGTTGTGCTCCATTACGTATCGCACTTTTGCCTCCAATGTCCAATGTATAGGTAGCACATTAACCTCTCTCTTCAAACCAGAAAACAGATTTTAAATCCTGTTGAGATTCGGGCTATTAGGGGAAGTTGCATAAACTAGACTTTAGAGTGCTGCATCTTTTCTGAAGTGAACCGGAGTCCTTCACTAAATCAACTTACTAATCTCTTTACTGAGATAACCGGAACTTTTGGTTTTGAGCGCTGCTTGCTTCATTATAGTGAAAACAATACGAACATTCAAAGCTATGCACAAAAAGGCTGACTTTGATTAAAATTGTATTTCTCGAATTCAGTGAGTTAGATATCACACAGATTATTATTATGAAACCTTATTTAATGCAATTTCTCTGAGTTGTGAAAGAATTTCATTTGGTTATCCAATAAAGTTGATCTTATGGATTATGTATTGGATAAAATAACGCCTCGTAACAAATAACCGAGATGGCAAGGGTTTATAGAAATAATTTAGGATAATTCTTGAGTCATTCCTATTAGAAAATATTGCGTTGTCATACTTGACAAGGTTTGGGGTTTTCATGTTCAGATCATTTAATATTGACACTCAATGTCAGATACGTTTAATTGACACTTGTGGAGACTAGAAACTACGTGGATCGAAATAGACAAGATATAAATTATTATCCATACCTAAAGCACTAATACAGGTGATAAATATAATGAAACTCCATTTGATCATAAAGAAAATATTTTAGTGCATCACAATCGGCTAGTACTGTATAATGTGTTACACTGACGCCATTACGGAACACTGTGAACGAACTTGCTTGTGTTATCCTCATACGTTCTGTGGGAATGTTCAAACAGACTGTGCTTTACGGAAGAAAGCAGTACTAGGATTTTTAATCATTGCAATGAGTCCCGGAGTAGATCCATAAGCACACATTTGAACATGCCAAGTGAAAACACCACACATGGGCATTACATCGAATCGAAATGTGGTAATGCACAACATCCAAGCAGGCAATGCATTTGTATCAGTTGGAGCAGGCACGAGTCACGGCTCACAAGTCACAGTCGCAAATGAAGCAAGGAACTGCACTAGCAATCACCGAGATGGAAAAAAACGATCACACAAGTAGCGGTTAGTAAACTGAGAGAAGTCAATGGGATTAAGTTATATGTAGGAGCAGCGCCATTGGTTGTATGCTTGTATTCTTGGCGTCACATAGCTTCTGTATGAATCAAACGTCTTCTGAATGGTCGGCACCATTGGCCTACCGTTCGTTTTCCAGATACTGTAACCCGTCGTCTCGTGACCGACGTGTCCGACCGAGGCTAGAATCACCGCAGAATCAGTGCACCCAGTTCAATCCCAAAGCAAATCGATCTGGGGGTTCCAATATGCTTACGTGGGTGACAGCAGTCCGTATCGGTCACCCAATCAATGACGATTTAATTAGGTGCAAGCAGCGTTCAGTTGAGGTCCATAACATCAGCTATAAGTATGAAATCGTCACTAAGGATCGACGAGTTCATTACCACTAGAATGTCGTCAAAAATACCACAGAGCTATTTCAAGCTTCATACAATTTATTACTATCGCATGTTATGAGGTTATTTTATGTTATGCTATGAGGTCCGGGCGCCCTTTGACTGGCTGCACTACAATCCCGTGTTATCACATCTCATCGAATTCGAAGGATTTTTGTCATTATTATGGCTTTTGCTCGTTGATATACCAGATCGAAATTACTTCTACTTAAACACTAGCGGATTTACACCACGATTTAATCCAACCACGCTTAATTCTCTCGGAGTTCGGAATTCACACAAAAAGCACAACCGGGCCGGGTGAAAAGCTGCTCTTAAGTGCACCCTTCCGTCAAAAATGTCCGTCCCATCACTACTGAGTACGAAAATTCGTTCATTGTTCACGAAAATCTCGGGTTTATCACTTGTTCTCCGTTCCCGGATTCATGTTCATACTTGTCTGATTTGCATACAAGAATCTTGGCTGAACCCTCATGTTGCTGACGCGTTAGTGTGCATTGACGGATTTAACCTGTACCAACAGGACAGGGAATCGTGGCAACAGAACCGGTGGTGGTGTGGCTACTTGCGTCAACTCTTCGTGTTGTGGCAAGTCAGATGCCGTTTACTTATACTCAAGTAACGGGATTGATTGTTTTTCTCTTCAGTGTTACCCTAAATTCTCCCGACATAGAATTACCTTCATAACGAACCTATATATTGTTCCGTTTTGTACGCAAAATACCATCTCGACATTCTTCGACTCATTTTTACCTTTTCTTGTTTCACTACTGGAGGACAACCTGCATATTATTGTAGGTGATTTTAACCATGCCTCAACCCGGCCTCTCATTTCTTTTGATCTTACAGGTATATGTGTTTCACCGATCAGAGGTAACTCCGTTTTAGACAGAATTATAAAAAATCACCGCGAATTCTTCTCTCTTCATCTCCGTGCGCCCGTATCAACGAGTGATCATAGTCTGCTCTTCCTAGACCTAAGATATGCTCCCTTTTCTGTCTTCCATTCGTTTAGGCAAAGTAACCAAATCAAAATCCGTCTTCGAAACACATCACGTGAACGTATTCTTCTCCTTCAAAGAGCCCTGTCCAATGCAGTTTCATGGTTTCCCTGTGAGCCTTCATTGAACAACAATGTTAATCTTTTTGTTGATACAATTAATTCCATCTTTGACATCTGTTGCCGTTGGAAACCCTATTTCTCTCCGATGGTCGTGTTGTATCTCCGAAACTGAAAATATTAAGGAGACATAAGGAACATTTCTACAAATCCCGGAATTCATCAATGGCCAGTTACATTTCTACCTTGATAAAAAAAAGAAATTAGACGTATCGATTTAACCTATGGGAATCAACTCCTATGCAGCCAAAACAGGAGACATGTGTGGAAAGGAATTCGGATCCTATGTGGAGCGAAATCCAGACCAAANCCAAATGTATGTACCGTGGAAGTTGAGAGTATAGATCGGGCCTTTGTGCATCCGAGTAGCGATCCTCCTGTTTCATGGATTCCGGAAGACAGCCAATATAACCCCGTTCTAGAGAGAAGAAATATTTAAACTCCTTCGTACAACTAAACCATCCACTGGTATTGGTCCTGACGGTTTATCTTCACCCCTTCTAAGGCATGGTGCCCTGGCTCTAAAGGATGCATTTACTTCTATCCTCAACACGTCACTTAGTTCATATTCTATTCCCGATTGCTGGAGACCCGTCACGATCATTCCCATTCCAAAACCGTGCAGATCCAGCACCCTGTCCAAACGTTTCCGTCCCATTGCTCTAACGCCATGCGGTCCTAAATTGGCAGAACGTGCCATTCTCAAACCTCTTTCTGCTTCCTTCTGTACCCCAGAAGACCATCTCCAGTTTGCTTATAAATCAAATAAGTCCACTTTGGATGCCGTTGTCTACCTCGTTCATCACGTTACCAAATCCTTAGGCACATCTGCGAAATCTGTAAGATGTTTTCTTCGATTTTTCATCAGCTTTTGACTCTGTTCCACGTTCCGTCCTCCTTCGTAAATTGGAATCATTTGGCTGTCCCAAGCACCTACTGGCGTGGCTCGTCGACTACTTCCAAACAGAACTCAGCGGACTCGGCTCGGCAGGACAACGTCTATACCACTTGTGAACAATTGGGAACTATTACAGGGTGCCGTATTGTTTCCTCTCTTGTTTTCCACCTACATCGGTGATCTATCTGCGAGTTCTCCAGCCCAATTATTTAAATATGCTGATGACGTAGCCCTCTGCCAAGCCATTTCTGTCCCTGAGGACCTTTTACATTTCTCGAATAATCTATTCGCATATTGATGAATTTTCCGTTCGTTCTAGACTGTCTCTTAAGTTATCCAAGTGCTTCGAATGCACTTTCTTCTTCTCTCGATCTGTTTACCCTCGTCATCCGTCTATCATAAACACAGATCCCCTAACTAGAGTTGATTCTGTGAAGTATCTAGGAGTTACAATTGACACTAACTTAGAGTGGACATCTCACATTTACAAATTTGTACAGAAACTTCGCAGATTATCTTTTCAACTTCGAAGACTTAGGCAGTTCAATGCCAAGCGGAAAATCATTTTACTTTTTGTTTATCAATGTGCTTTTCTCGTTCTTCTTTATTGTTCCCCGGTGGTTTTTGTTGGTCTACTAAAGAAAGTTTTCAAAATTCTTCGTCGAGGTTTGTCGATCATCAGCTATGTGTCTTTTATACCCGTTGATGAGCTATCTAAAAAACTGTGTAAACTTCACTTGTCCGCGTGTGAAAGATTTGCTCAGAAAATCCTGTCCGACTCCAACCATCCCTTACATGGCGATTTACCTAAATGCTGCTCTTATACGTCTACACGTTCTTCTTATCGATTATTACCCTCTCGCATTAGTCTTTAAAGAAATTCCCCAGTTCCCTATCTTGCCAGAATCCTTGTAGACCCAGAGCGCGCTTCTTCAGAATTTCTCAGTAAACTTAAGGTTAAATATTTATTTGTATTTTTCCTTTTATTGATTAGATGTGTAATTTTTGATTGAGATGCGAACATTCTTTTCTCGCAAACGCCCATAAAAACACAAATAAAAATACAAGGTAACTGATTCCAGTGATTAGGGTTAATTAATAAAACCAGATTGAATGATTCCAAATTGAACTTTGAACACACTGGATGCTTGGATACTTGGATGCTAATAAAACACGTTTTTTCATGTTTCAGGTTTTTGATAGGGAATTGGAATAGATTGGTGCAAAATATAAATAAACTGGCCTCCAAACTTAGTGTGGCCAAATCCGCCCGGAAAACGCGCGATTTACTTGTCTCTAAAGAAATGCAGAAAATGTTACAGCGATTCAGTGAAGCCCAAGAACTGTTCCGAAAGGCAATTCCGAATAGCGCTGATCAACTGGTAGCTCTTATGTCTGATCATCCTTCCGATTCGATTGCCTCGGAAACTGGTGCCGCGGATGCGAAAACCGGAAAAAGAAAGCTTATCATGAAGGTTGGTCCAGGTGACTCAACGTCACCTATCGTTTCAGATGAAGATCTATTGGATGAGACGGAGCAGGCCGGAATGCTCTGCCCAAGTGGGAGAAAGGCAGATATAAAGTTGATTACTTCAGATATCGAGCATTCTGAGAAAACACCAAGACGGTCCGCTAGACTATCGAAGGCTGAGGTTAAAGCCATGCGTAAAAGCGTCCTAGCCGACTTGTTCCAATTACGAGATGTTGAGTCAACGGCGACCAAGGAGGAGTTGGAATCTGATGCCTCAGCTGCCGAATTTTTCTCACGGAAATCGGGTAAATTTTACGAAATGGAGCAAATTTCTTTGACCAGAAGAAGTCGAAGCACCGTATCGACAAGTTTTCCATCATTTTCTTTCCGTTTTTCAAGTAAGTGAAAGATGGTTTCAGCAGAGACAGTCTACGTTCAAAGCATGTGGAATTATTTTCTGTGGTTTACTTATTTCACCAAAACTAATCCTACTGAAAACGAAAAGCACTCAGTAGCAATCGATCAGAATACAATTTGATGCTTTGATTAATCTTGTACTCATACGTCTACAGCACTTTCTGGAGTAGCTTTCACTGGGACAAAAATTAGTCACTCCAAACTATCATAACGGAATTACATAAATGATAAATAATGGAGCGATGGGTATTCAAAAACTTTTTTCCCAACACTGAACTCCATTCGCAGCAGCTTGAAACAAACTTCATTTAGTAATTCCTCTTCTGGTTTCTTCGTGTTATCTGAATGCGGAACACCGAGGTTTTGATAAATGGTTATTTCGAAGGTAGTGAAGCTCAGGCGATCAACGTCAAACACGGTCGTTTTCAGTTTATACAACCATTGATCCTTCACCACCCTTCTATGGTTTCGGTTACTATTACTACTACTACTGTCGTTAGATACTACTCACTTGTGAGTAGTAAGTAACTTTGGGTGATCAAAAATATAACAAGACCATCAAAGGCAACGACTGGTTCCGTCGCCAGGATCAGGATAAAGGTTCCGTGGCCTGATGCATTCGAAGATGAGGATTTGCCGACGTTCCCGAAGGTGGCGGGAACATGGTCGGACCGTGTAAGTTCAATGCCCTCCGGGTGATTCTCAAGGGTCGGGCGCGGGCGGTGTTGGATGCGGCGCGAAGAGGCCCGGAGAAGATGAAGTGGGCCACCGCGAAGGACACTCTGATCGCGGGTTTTGACACCCCGGCCGACCGCCAGAAAGCACTGCGGGCCTTCGGGACGACGCAGCTCGGAGATGGCGTGGATTTCCTGTCGCAGGCCGTGGCTCTGCGTGCTCTGTTTGATCGAGCGCTGCCAACTTTGAACGACGCTGATCTCTCAGAATTATTGCTGGAGCGTTTCATGGAGTGTCTGCCGGACAAGCGGCGGGAAATGACGCGAATTNCGCGAATTGTCCCAGCGGGGCGCGCCATGGATGTGTTCACCCTGGCTGAGACCGTGAGACAGTTACCCATAAATGAAGTTTTGCTCTCCAATTTCCCGAAAAGTCAGCCGCTAGAGAATGTTACGGAAGCCCCGCAAAAAGCTGATAGAAGAGGTGGCTGCACTGAGTTTAAACTGCGGAGTAAGAAAGAACAGGAATGTGTGCTTTCAATGCGGTAAACTGGGCCACTGGCGAAGGCATTGCCCAGGAGGATACAAAAAACGTTCTCTCGAGAAACGGTTTTCTCAGAACACGCCCGTCTCCTCAAACAAGGCTATCATAGGAGCAGTGGATCGCGGTGCAATCCAGGCCCAATTGGATATTGAGGGTCGAAAAGAGTCATGCTGGGGTGGCAATATCTTTGGCGAGACCACAAGCAAATGAACCCCTGGAAACATGGAATACATCTATGAAAACAATCGGCGGTTACCAGTTGGAGGTAGACGGAGTTGCCAAACGAACAGTCCGCGTTGGAAACAAGATAATCAAGCATCCATTTGTCATAACAAAACACACGAGCCAGACCATAGTGGGAGCAGATATATCACTCAATATAAGGGCCGTGGTTGATCTAAACAATGAATGGCTTGTTATTAAATTCGGCACAATCCCGTTGTCACGTTTGAAAAGGAAGAGGTTGTCAGCCGTGAGTACAGAAACAACTCACACGAAGGTGTTGCTGTCGCTCCAGCCTGTGGTGCAACAATACTCCCGATGATGATCCGTACGGTTTCTGTAACTGGGTCGAACAGGAAATCCTAATGAAGACAGGAAAATTTCGAGCCTATGGTTCACACCGAATTCTACTACACTTGGAGGACGAAGTCAAGCGGCAGGTTGAACAAATGTTGAAGGAAGGAATCATTGAAGAAACTCGAAGTCTGTATAACTCACCCGTACTGCTCGTTAAAACGCCCAACGGCAAATTTCGGTTCTGTGTTGATTTCCGCCAAGTAAACACAGTGACCATAAACAAACCAGTCCCAGTCCCGACTGTGGCAGAGATTTTTGACCAACTGCAAGTATTCTCAGTTGTGGATCTACGATCGGGATATTGGTAAGTACCAATAAAGAAAGCCGATCGAGAGAAAATGGCGTTCACAGTCGGAAATAAACAATATTATTTCAAACGAATGCCAATTCGGATTATCTGGAGCACCATTTACATTCCACCTCCTCGTGTTGAATTTACTCGACGGTAACCCCAACGTGGTGGTGTATGGTGACGGTATTGTTGTCTACAGCCAAACTACAACCGAACACACATTCCACTTGGAAACTGTCCTGAAACGAATCCCAGAATCTGGTCTTCGGATTAATGGATGGAAGTCCCAAATTGGAAACCGACATTGACTTTACTTGGGTACAAAGTTGGAAACGGAGAAATGAGGCCACTCCCTGAGAAGTTCCTCAAGTTAAAGGAGTTTGCACCCCAACATCGAAAAGAACATTAAAACGGTTTCTGGGCTGTGTTGCATACTACAGCCGGTTCGTCAAAAATTTTACGAATTTTGCCGAAGCGTTATACGCCTTGCTCAAAAAAGGATATTGCTTCAGGACACCAGAAGCCCAGAAAGCCTTCGATGAACTCCAAAGGATCATAACCGAACAACACCTGACACTGAAGTTACTGGTGATTGATGAGCGATTCACAGTGGTAACGGATGTCAATGACGTTGAAGTGAGAGCCGTACTCAAACAAGCAAGCAGGGTGCTGACTCCAACGGAAAGGAAATATTCAACCACGGAAAAAGAATGTGTTGCAATTGTTTGGATCGTACATAAATGGCGATCATACCTTCTGGTTCCATTTAGAAACGGATCACAAGCCGCTGGAGTGGATTAAAACCGCCAAGGACCCAAGAGAAAAACTAGCCCGATGGGCGCTTCGGTTGCAGGAGTACGACTTCACGATCAATCATGTTGCAGATGCCGAAAACTGTATGGCGGATAATTTGTCTCGTCAAAAGGAAGCAGATTCCTTCAGTGTCAGAATAGTGACATCGGTATAAGACCGGCACGAATTAGAAAAGGAACAGCGCAAGGACCAAAAACTCCGAAAGGTGATCGAAGTAATCTCACAAGGCCAGCAATACCGAAACATGTAACATAGTACACACATGAAGTCATGGAAAATTATATGGAAGCAGCTTTATTTGAATGCCGCTAGCATCTTAATGAAGCGACAGCCAGGAAGAAGGTGTCCTGTGGTTGTCATTACGAACCAGCTGCGCCAAATCCTTATCACAGAAAGTCATGAACTGGTACACACTGGATGCGCTCGAACCTACGTTCTGCTTTGACAGCTGGCATATTGGCCAAATATGCAGGCCGATGTGAGAAACCAGGTGCTGGTGTGAGAAATATGCCAACTGTTCAAGTCAGAATCCCGCCCACCGCAATGTCCAATTCAGTCAGCACCAGTATCCGAGATCGGTGAGTTATGGTCCATCGATCTCATGGGTCCATTTTCGATGTACCCTCGAGGACACCAATACATCGTTGTAACGACGGAGCACTTCACGCGCTGGATTGAAGCCGTAGGAGTCGCGGATCAAAAAGCCACTACGATAAGCAGAGTTGTGTTGAAGCATATCGTGGCAAATCATGGTGTACTGCAAGCCATCCTTATTGATCAAGGCCCATGCTTTGAGAGTGATGAATTTCGCACGTGCTTACAGAAATTAGGCATCAAAAAGATACGCACAACGCCCTATCACCCACAAACCAACGGCCTCACCGAAGGCAATAACAGAACAATCAAAGAATGGCTGGCAGCTGAAGGAAGGGATTGGGAATAGTCCCTACCTTCCCTACTTTTGGCGTACCGCTCGACCACGCAGGCCAGTACTAAACATTCACCATTTCAACTGAGGTATGAAATAATTCCGAAGCTGCCAGGGGATCTCAATGTTGGCATTTGGCCGCAAAATGATTTATCTCCGCAACAAATTCAACAGACAAGACGGGAAACCCGGAATAACCTGGAGAAGGTGCAGGGGAATACAATGCGCAAGTCTAGAATACGAACTAGACGGACGGCCAGTGTGCTTCCTATTGAATCTAAAGTAGAGTATAAGTAGCATGTTTAGGGATTAGCGAGCGGCCCTGGCTCGAGGAAGTTAATTCCTAAAAGTGGAAAGGTCCATACCGCATAGATGAACAACGTCATCCCATGTACAAAATTCAACGGATGAAAGAAGTCCGTTGTGTACATCGAAAGGATCTCGCAATAAGGCATGAGGAAATCCACAGTACACGCCGTATACCAACAAAAGAAATTCCAGAATCCAATTACATATAGTCAGACATGACGGCGAAGTGGTGTTCATCAGGATTGCCCTCTCTCTCCATTTCTGTTTAACTTTGTTATAGATTTAATTCTTGAAACAGCCCTATCCTCGTGCAGGGAATAGCGGCATCGATTTACTCTCAGGTGACAGACTGTCTGATCTAGAGTACACAGANCAAAGTGAAGATTCAGGTAAGTTGCAAGGTCTTCCGGATATTTTGAGTGCTAGTGTAGCGATGTTCGGTATGCGCTTTGCACCTTCAAAGTGTAAAATACTGCTCCAAGATTGGATTGGTCCAGTCCCCAGTCTCACCCTGACCGGGGAAGTTGTAGAAAAAGTAGACAAGTTTTGCTACCCCGGTAGCTATATCTCACCTGGCGGACACATCACAGATGAAGTGTTGCGCGCATACAGAAAGCTCGGTTGGAATTTGCCAAACTGATACATCTGTGGCGCCGCCGCAACATCCGGTTGTCTGTGAAGGGTCGATTATATGCTACAGCAGTTCGGCCAGCACTGCTTTACGACGCAGGGACTTGGCCATTACGGGAACAGGATAAAAATAGACTGTCGGTGTTCGAACACCGCTGTCTGCGTAGCATTGCACGTGTCTGGTGGGGAAACCGTACGAGCAATGCTGAGGTTGGGAGTAGAGTTTTTGGTAATCGCGGTCGTCCACTGGAACAGGTAGTCGACCTCCATAGATTACGTTGGTTGAGGCATGTGTTACGCATGTCACCAGATAGATTGCCACGGCGAGCGATGTTCTCCGAGGCATACAGCGGTTAGGAAAAGGTCAAGGGCGGTAAAGCTAAGACCTGGCATGAGGGTATGAAAACCTTGACCAGAAGACTGGCTCACGTTCGTCACGTTAGGCTACCTGGCTGGGGACCCAGAGATCATTGACACCGGTGGTTGGAGACACTGAGCGATATGGCTGGGTGTCGCAAACAGTGGCGATCATGCATCTACTCATTATACATGTAACTTCAGTCTATGAAAATGTGCTACCGAATGGGCAACCAAAATACAGCAACCAAAACTACTACTACTACTACTACTACTACTACTACTACTACTACTACAATTATTATCATTATTATTATTGTTGTAATTATTCAACAAGGCAGTATTTGAATCAGGACAGTTGTTTGATATGAAATAACGGACAAAGTAGAGTCCGATTAGCACACATACACCAAAATGTCTCATTTGGAACGAGTCTTCGGAATTCCAACACGTAGACAAGATAGTTAATCAGACGGTCCACTATTAGATGTGCATTCCTGTATTTACCACAATAAATGCAGCAATGCGCTCCAACAGATCTTGCTCATTTTTGACCGTTGAAGGAAACCGCCAATCACATTCTTTTGAGAACTACTCACAAATTTGAGTAGTACTTCACAACACTACTACGACCTATCTTCGTGCTTGGTCAATCGATCAGTCAGGAAGGAATAAGTGAAAGAGTTAAGATCGAGAAAAACCCACATACTACTAAATTAATACTGGGTATCAAAAAAAACTAAGCGTGAGTAAAATCCGGATTTTCGAGACCATTTAGGGGGGTTGCTTCCTATCTGCCAAGCACTGGGTTTGATTCTCGCCTGAGTCGGTGGATTCACTACTTATAAGAACCACCAAGATCCTCCTGTATAATAACTCGCTAACTCAGGAAATTAGAATGTAGGATTTCGCGTGAAGATGAAGTTCGAAAAATATTCAGTTCAAATCAATGATAAATGTATCGCACCATTACTCATAACTAACTGTGAGTTAAATGCGAATAACCAATCAAGTCTAGCAGGTTAATGATAAGTCAGCCCGTAACCTACATGGAAGACCTGACTTTGTGAGGGGCTTTCTATTGGAGTTAAGAGATAGTCAACTGCCTCCCTTCATTGCTGTCGGGCCAAATGAACTGACTGACTATCACTGAGAACAACACCTGGAAAAATCTGAATTGATATTTCGGTTCGCCTCCCGATGCCAGCTGTTTGACACAATGGAAATACACACGACTTCCATGCGATGAGTCCGGAGTTCAGAGCCCGGACGGGACGGTGGATATACACTACTGATGAGTTATAATAAGAGCGAAACTTGAGTTTGGTGCTTCCGAGTGTATGGTTGACCGGATGAACTGATGATTTTGCATGAGGGTGAAGTCCATAGGATAGTCAGTTCGAATCAAGATTCAAATGAATTGCTTGCCACATTGGTAACATGTAGGGGTTTGGAGCATGAATTCCGATAGGGCTCGTGAATATGCAATACTGGTAAAATCTGAGAAAAGCGCAACGTTAAGCGAATACTTCCCCAGTATATGGTGGAATGCTTGAACTAAGGATTGTGCGTGATGATGAACTGTTAAGGATGTTACACCCAAATCAATACACAATATACTGGACTCACAAGAATTTAACATTTATAAAAGTTTGGCAGTTATATACATGTGTGTATGTGGATGCCTTGATAACAGCCACAGTTATTAGCAGACTATTAACTGTAATCAACCCCAGAAAGAGGCTGGAATCACACGTGTTGCGGTTACTAGCATCTAAGCCACCTAAAGAGCATCGAATCATAGCAGTGATTCATAAATGGACTGGTTCCGAAAGGAATGACCAAGTCATTGTATCCAGCGTTGCCAATGATATATTTATGTTAGAAAAATAAATAAATACATATTTTACAATGAGCAGTATATGAATGATTCAACAAATTTCCGGGAAGCACACAACCGGTTTGGCGGTTCTTGCCGCTTGTCAGGCGTGCGTACCTGGTAATCTTTTGTCACTTTATATACCTTTACCCATGAAGTGTATTTTCGTCACAATATAGGGTCTATACTTTATCGATCTCCCGTCTGTTTTCTTCTTTTTTTCAGGCCAGGAGTTCAGAAGAAGTCGCAGGGATAAAGTATGCCATCCCTTTTTCATTATTTCACAATCTTTTGGTATTCTTCCGGATAAATGTTTATACCATAGTCATTGTCATTCTACTCACACACAGTGTGCATAATATGCACCCGTGTTGTTGCATTTTCATCATCGTGTTTGTATACCTATACACATTTGCACACTTCGTTTATCAGATAATGGTGGATACCGCGCACAAATCTTTGGCACTTTTGAGCGAAATCACCAATCTGAGGTGAGTTCTTCGTGTTCTTTTCCTTTTAAACCTGAAATACAAACGATTTGCATCTGTATGCGCATATACGACCCCAAGTTGGATCTTGCTGTATTGAGCGGCAGCTCGTTGAACACTGACAACTCCATTCCAACAGAACAGAGGACATAAAAGTTTACGAATCGCCTCCGATCTAGCATCAGCTTAAATGTCTATAGATACTGTGAACTAGTTAGCAACCAGTCGAAGACAACCAGCTCATTATACCTATCAGAACAAATAACTCCTCACAACTTAATAGAATCGCCACCATCCTACATTAATTCCGTTGGCGTATTTAATTCCCTTCAATCTCAAAACAGACGTCCTTTGGCTTACCGTTCTCCGCTCAAACCTTCTTTCTTCACTCCACACCATATAACGTCCCTGTGTTCCAGCCCAGAGACAAGAGGCATCGCCAACTGAATGGTAGTCGATCAGAAAATGAATCGCTATCGATATTCATACATTATAGCACAATTGTTTAACATTCGTCTTAGTGTATTTTCTGAACCATAAATGACAATACTTTTTAAGGAGAATGAGGTTACAAACTATTACTTTACCAGTATAGCATACGATAGTCTTTCACTTATTTAACAAGTCTGACCACTACCAGAGAGATGGTGAAATAAACCGCTCTCTTTGCATCGTTTCATTCATCTGATGACCGCACACTTTTTCGGGTTTTTACTTATGATATTGTGCGTTCGTGCGTTCGAAAGGTGTGCGAACAACTTTTCCAATTGAGAGAACACTCTAACACCCACACCGTACTTCTCCCTTTGCCCATTGTTTTTGACATGCAAGCACTGAAATCTCCACCTTTCCAGTATCGATGACCCGATAGGTAATACACGTGAATTGTTGGTTGGTATACAGAATAAATCAGTGGTACTTGCCCACTCGAAACTCCTTGGNCTCCTTGGTGCCGTCACGATATCCGGTTGTCTGTGAAGGGTTGAGTATATGCTGCAGCGGTTTTACCGGTGCTGCCATACGGGTAGAAACTTGGTTATTTCAAAAGCAGGATAAAGACAGACTGTCGGTGTTTGAATACCGCTGCACCACACTGCTCGTGCCTGGTGGGCAACTAGGCACCTAATGCTGAGGTTAGGTGCAGAGGTTTGTTAATCGTGGTCGCCCTTTGCAATAAGTGTTTCACTCGCATGATTACGATGGTTAGGGTATGTGTTACGTATCTCGGTAAAATGTTTGTCATGGCACGCGATGTTCGCTGATGCAGGTACTAGGTGACAGAGGTCAAGGGATGTCAAACTAAGATCTGATCAGAGAACTTGTTAACATAGGTCGCGATAGGTTTTCTGGATGGGGACATCGGAATTGGCCTAACGGAGACACCGAGTATCGTAAAGAGTGGCACTTGTGCATCTACTCCTTGATCTTGCAATCTTAGTCTACGGGAATTCCTATTTTTACCTTCATTCCACTTTTAATATTTCAAAGTTCCCTCGANCCCCCCCCCCCCCTGCCCCGGCACACACAAATGGTCAGCCAAAACCGCCGCACGAAAGTTCATTGTTTATGTTTGTTCAAACCAAAATTAAAATTGATCTTCAACTTTCATTACGAACTAAATGACGCGGATTCCGGATACTTGCATGTTCTGATGTGAATGGAGGTCAACAGGCATGTGTAGATATGATTCACAAACGAGAATAGAAGTCAGTTGAATACCTTTCATAAACACAATGTAGTCTGTGTGCATTCTGGAAATTTTGAATGCAAATTTTGGAGGGATTTTTTAAATAAAGGCGATTTTACATTTTTTACCAAAATTATCTGATTGTGCATAGTGGTGGTGGTGGGTGGGGATCGTCAGACAGAATATTGGTGCAGAATTCTTCGTATGCGGGAATCTGAGTCTCGTGTGATGGAATTCGAATGGCGTAAATTGGGACTGAATGAGTTCAGCGCTGAGACCAGCAATAACAAATGTGCAAATTAAAGATATGTATATTCACATAGCAACATACTAAATAAGAAAATAAGTACAGGTAAACTTTTAAAGGTTGCAAACAGGAGGTACGGAAAAAATCCTTAAAAGTTACTGCTCACCTGATATCACGGAAAATAGAAGCACCAAGCTGGATCATTGGAATGATTCGGCCACAAATATATAAATGAAATGTCCGGATTGGGTGTTCAAGCTTCCCTTCCCCCGGTTGAGTGAAAAGACTTGCATCGTACCACTTTTTTCCTCAAACCAATACCAAAGCTTCATTGTTTACATTTAGAAATCTTCATTTGGAGGGAATCACATCCAATCAACTACGATCCATTCTGGTCCGACTAGAGGATGAAGGTCTGGTTCCGTTTCCGGACCATTTGGTTTCTCACTACGAAGAGAACGACACGGATTCAAATGCATTTATATCGGACGAGCTGTGGGACAAACTGATGCAATACTTGGAACAGATAAGGGAACAAATAACATTGAGTTCGGTGAGTACATTTGTTTCTCAGTTTGAGAATGTTATCTTCCACGTTTACAATGTAAGTTGAATATCTTTGCTTGGTGAGCCGGAACCACAATCCAATATCTATTCTTTCAGCTCCCTATGAAACAAGATTTTAGGGAGGTTTGCCAGATAACTGAAATGTTGTCGACGTCTTTTTTGGCGTGGGGGGTATTTTAACCGCATTGAGAACAGCACAGTTCAGAAAGTACTGGTACACAAAAAGCAAACACCACCGAACTTGAGACTGCATCTCTGCGTTTTGCATCGCCACCCTTTTTGACTGATACACATTGGGTTAGGAACCGGTTTTGGGGGATTATACAACCGGGTGATTCACCTAGACGAAAGTAAAATGCTGATTATATACAGTGTTGAGCTGCGTTTCGGTTGCACTTTTACCCGACGGAACTGTCTCAAATGGCAATGAGTGACCGCACACACCGCCTCGTGAGTCGTTTGTATGTGCTTGTGGTGGAGGAAAGCCAGCCGCATTGTGTTGACCTTTTCCTGCTCGTGAAAACCAGATCCCAATTGTCTGCTGTACGGGGTGAACTTGAGGGACAAAGCACCATTGGTCTAGCGGTACGCTTCAGGTCTGAATTTTCGGGAGACACGCAAATATTTTAATCCTGACGAAGCGAAAGCAGATCGTTTCCACAGCGAAAAATTTGGAGAGCATTCTGATCAAACCGGATCGAAGCAAAGTAGAACAAATAGTTTAAGGAAGAATTCGGTAACTATGGAGTTGTTGAAAAATAATGTGAAATTGCTTGTTTCTGCAAACGTCCAGTTCAGTTTATGTTGCTACTTTCTGCTTACATGGTGGATTAGCAGAACACAAGGCTTATTGCTACCAAATTAACCCAAACAGAACCCACTTTTGGACAACTCTTTTGCACCATCATTCCCGGTACCGTCACATTAATGCGGTTTGCAATAAATTTCGCAACCGATTATTTTGCGTATCCAAACTCAACAATTTGGGAGATCCGTTTATTGCGCTACATTTACCTTAATAATTTCATACAAATTAACAGGTAAACAGATAGAAGTATCCATAGTCAGCCTTTTATAATTCACATATAAGAGAGAAATGAACTTTACTGGGCACAGTTACAATCCCGAAATTCCTGTGTGGCTTTCCATGCATAATAAGACGACGTTGGGCCCATATTTCATTGATAACACAGTCTTCTCCAGTTCACAGAATAACCATTGTAGCTGCCTCTTACCGTAATAATAATCAAACTAATTGGGCACAAGTTATTCGTGCGATAGTATAAATCCTCCACTGTAGACAAATGTTCCACACATTCTTTCGCGGTACGAAACTAAAGTTCGCAAATCCTCCTTTTACGCATTCAGACTGGAGAATCTATTCCCTTTATTGCGCTCGTTCCAACGTAGTAAATTTATGCATATCACAATTCAAGATGTACGGATATCACTTTAAGTTGTCTGAGCACCATTTAAAGTTGTTTGAGAATCACTGAATGTTGTGTCTGTATCATTTCAAGTTGTGTCATTGACTTCATCGGAGCTGCCAAGCTCATGTACTCATGTATTGAAGCCTCCCAACGTGGTCGGAATTGTCACCGTGCAGCGTGACGGCGACGATTGTGCAACGTGTCTCGATCACACCCCGAATTCCCATGACATCTTGATTGTTTACCTTTCTATATAGTATGGATCTGTGTGTGCGTGTTCGCCCCCTCCCTGAAAAGTTATGTCTAACCATGTTCCGCCGATACCAATGGATTATGCGTTATCAACGCTTGAGCCGTTGTTTACACCCATCGTATGATTGCACAGCGGAATTCGTAAGCTACACCTCAAGCGGCTGAACTGGGACACCAATCGGTCATGCTCGATCGATATGCGCATCAGTATTGGCCAGATATGCAATGCTAGCAGATTATATTTCATCTCTGTGTTGCCGCCACAAAAGCACCAACAGATATTCCAGCCTTCAAGTACTGAACAATCAAAATGACCGTATTTACCATATACCCAGAACGGAATGAGGTATCTCTAGTACACCAACTGCGATTGAAATAGCTTAACGAGGGCTGTCGAAAGTAATTTGATGAAATTTCATGTTTCTGGTTTTAACTCGGTTACCTTTCAAATTGTCAAAAACGGTGATGGTCGTGCATGTGGGAGCGGAGATTATCTGAAAGTCTAGCGGAAGAGGTGCAGTACTTTTGTTGTATATTATATATGACGATGCAATGCTTTTCCCTCGTGGTGAATGTCGTTGTTCGGCCTATATCAACGGGAAGAATCACTGGTGTGAATGCGATACAAAAATCGTTATGAGATCACAGTTCATGCTCAATGTAAGTCGATTCAGACAGGTCGAACTGCATGACTGAATCCCGATCGAACGTGTCACATCTTCCGCTTGTATCGATTGTGCAACTTTTTCAGGCTAGGTGAATTGATTATTTCAATACCTTTAGGGTACATAAAATCAAATGATGTAATCGAATAAGCATGTTTTGTTCATTCATTCCTAGAGTTGCCTCTAGCAGAATTCAGTTGAGTGGTTTGCCCATTGTCAGCTTAGGCTACTGATTAAAGGGACAAAGGAACCCAATGTTTCAATTTTTACCGCCAAGACTCCTTAATTATACCACCAGAGCAATTGAGCGTTTGTTCATTTTGTGGTGTACTAAATAGACAGAGTTCATGTTCAGTTTTACTAGGATCATGCACATTTGGAATCGATTGGCAATTTTACTTTGCTGTCTCCAGTAATAATGTACTCACAGCCTTGAATATAAATGGATCGAGACAATTTTTGATATGGATTTTTAACTTCCAATGGAGCTTCAACGTAGGATGAAACTCTAGATAACTTGGACTGATTTGAAAAAGGCTCTCCAAGAAGCTTGAGATAGCATCAGCAACTGGTCGCAATTACTATGAAATTGACAAAAATGGTAGCAGATTTGTGGCCATTTAGCCCGTAACCTGCATGGAAGACCTGACTTTGTGAGGGGCTTTCTATTGGAGTTAAGAGATAGTCAACTGCCTCCCTTCATTGCTGTCAGGCCAAATGAACTGACTGACTATCACTGAGAACAACACCTGGAAAAGTCTGAATTGATATTTCGGTTCGCCTCCTGTTTGACACAATGGAAATACACACGACTTCCATGCGATGAGTCCGGAGTTCAAATCCCGGACGGGTCGGTGAATGTGTACTACTGATGAACTCTATTAAGAGCGGAACTTGAGTCGAGTTCTTGTCAATGTATGGTTGACAGGAAGAGCTGGGAAATTTTTGTGACGGTGAAGTCTGAAGGATGATCAGTCCTAATCAATCAGCAACTATTGATTAACCACAACACTACTGACAAGTAACTGTGAGTTAAATGCGATAAATGGATAGTGCGACAAAAACGTTGACAACAACCAAGGCCAGGATTGGTTGAACCCCATTTATGAAATGGTCAAAGCAGCGAATTTCTCTGTCCGTAAGTTAGTCAATAGCAATACATGGCATGACCAGTTACCAAGATGCAGGTTAAAGTAAATTCATGAATAATGATGACTTTAGAGTTTATTTAAAAGTGTTATGAAAGTTTTGGTAACTGAAATCGTTGAAATTACTTTCTGATCAAACAGCAGACAGAGCGTTTACATATTACAGATCATTCCGCGACTTCAGTTCTGGCCTACAAATCTATACACAGCCTCCCTCCGATCGATGCACGTGCTTTTGCATCTGTACACTGACTACAACACACAGGGATGAGAAATTATGATTATGGCTAAGTTAGCTCAGTTTATACAGCCACTGCTGATCGAATGAGATCTTTACCAAACGACAAACTGTTCCCTCAGGGCTGCGGACTGAAATCGCAGCAGTTCATTTTGTAATCGAGTGTTGCGGTTAGCGCACACAAACACGCACATGAACTTCTCTTCAGACTAGCCAATGAAATGATCTACAGCTTTACGCAGTGATGGTGATACTTCGTTGACCCATCTCGAGCACAACGAATAAGCATTAGATACAGTTTGTTCGACTGATTTTGTAACATAACTGTCAAACGGGTTGGGTTGGTTGATTAAAGCATGAACTGCGTGCTTTTGTTACAGAATGAATAATCCTGAATTGATCGGATTGTGGCATTACGCTTAGTCTGTAATAAGCACAGCGAACAAGCTCGATTAGGAAAAAAATTCGCTACAGTAAGTGAGGTTTTTTGGAGTGTGGTTGATGTTTCTTAATAATCACTTTGCCTTCAGTGTTTGTCTTATTTAGCTTTCGACGAGAACGACCGACCACTACGCCAAATGGCCTGTCAGTCGGATAAGACATGCAATCCACGATGAGATGGATCGATAAACCTTTAGCCATGATTAGATTTACCGGAGGAGATGAACCGTTGGGAAGCTCCTGTTTGGCTTGGGCTCTGGATGAGTTGGTGCACAAAATTCCACTGAGACCGTGGTTGCCTCGAGAATAACCACTTGTTTTGTTCCTAGCACATTGCAAGTTACATTCAATATAGAGCCTAACACTGACACTCGCATGCAAAGAAAGAAGTAGCAACGTTCGTATTGAAGAAGAAAACTAAAACAAAACCTTATTGCCCACGAACTGCTATTAAATGATTTTTTACCAAGTTAAATCAAGTCAGTAGTCACTTTATTGTTCACAAATTATCTGCTGGCTTCTGTTTACAAGGCTAATAGTGATTCACTGATGACTATGGAGCTGTTATAGTTGGTAACATTTTGTTGGAACTACAGTTTCATTACCAGAAGCGAAACTGATATTCATTTGATGAAATGAGGTGCGTTTTCGAAGCTTTTACTGAACAAGAAGACTGTTGTTTGATGTCTACGTGAAAAGACAAAGCTTTTAGCATCACGGGATGCTTATCAGACACTAAGGATAATGTATGAAAGCAGGAGCTGCAATAAAACGTTAGGCGGAGAGTTTTTCTTGTACCGGATTAATTGTGGGACATGTTACTCTCAGAAAATAGTGATTGTTAGCATGTTTTTGAATATATACTATAATACGGTAAAATGGTGGGAATATTCAAGTGGTTACAAACACACTACCCTTAACTATTCAGGATTAAAATACAGTGTGAGTGATCAAAAACTGTTCATTTTAGATGTTATTGGTTGGGTTTGATCATACGACAACCCAGACGACAATTTAGTCCTCTGATCGCTGGACCACTGCCGTCCTATAGTTACTCTCCAGAAGTTCTGTTTTTTCCATGTTGTAAGCATTGAAGAAGATGTTTCAGTTGAATTTATTTGCATATTTTGGTCAGGATCATGCTTTTAAGTTGTATTGTTCTCTACAGTTGACAGCTATATCCAAACACAAACGGGAACGTAAAAGCTTGACGAGTAGAAGCCGTAATTTGACCGCAAAAGACCGCAAACGCATGTCATTCATGAGACGTGGTAGTACACTACTGAACGAAACAGTCAGTTCACTTGCTCGCAAATCTATCCACATAACCGATGAAGAGCCGGAAGAGGATTTAGTTGTCGATAATGCCGTTGTCCCCGAAGAACATGCTGCTCTGTCCAGTTCGGCTTCCACTTTGTCCACTATCTCATCTGGATTTGCGCTCGACCTGTTAATCAAATCCCCTCAACAGATACGTGAGGATGAGATCAAAAAGAAATACGAGTTGGAAGTGAACGCATGCAAAGAAATGTTTAATGAATCTATGCTGTTAGACGAACAAACGCTTCGATTGCAAATGTTTAACGCATTCTTGGCTGAAAATGTGCACAAAATATTCCGAAACTTAGAGCAAGCCCAAATGGACACGGAAGAAGGCATTGGTATACCGAGAGACTCCTTCTCCTGGCTTCATGCCCAGCTGATGGAACAGATTCTCAAAGTGACAGACGGTCTGCCCGTGGAAGTACGTAACAAGCTAGAAAACGCAGTGGAATCCCTCATTGGAGATTTGAAAACAAGTGCAGATCAACACCAGATGGATGTCCCGAATGTTGAGGTTAAAGCAGGGCAGATGTTGGCCCCGGAAATGATGAGCAGCTTGACAGCGGCGGTGCGAACTATTTTCAAATATCGCATCGATAATCTGTTAAAAACATCCCAATTGAATGACGAGGCTCGGAGGCTGGGCGATGAGGAGATTAAACAAGCTGGACGAAAACTGATAATTCAAGTTCAAGAGATAGGGAAGAATTTGAAGGATGAACTACTCCAAGAATCGCTTACACCTGCAGTGGTATGCGCAGCAATTAATCATGAATTAGAAAATTTGTGTAGAACGACTCAGTTACAAGTAAAAGAAGAAACTAAGCAATTAATACGTAGAAAAAAGCAACGTAGACCACGAATGTCCGCTCATGATTCAGCAACTCTCCGACCATATGGACATCGAGCAAGTCTCATGCTACAACCTGTCACACCCCAGGAATTAAAGAATTTACATGTTCGCAAGCCAATTTCTGTGAAAGACGAAATCCGACCACCTATTCGTTTCTCCTTGGTTGAACAGTACGAATCATTTCAACCGGACAGCGAGGAATTGGACTCTGAGAGTATGATATCCGTCAATGACGAAGAAGTGGAGCGCGTGATGGAAATGTTAAGGCATTTCACAGACTATGGAGCGGAGGATATGGATATTTTGGGACAGGTTTTCACAGCTCTTAAACGCAACTCCAGTATAGCACCGGCAACAATCTCCCAAACGCTACGTGAACAATACATCAAGGTGGTCACTCAGAACAAATCACGGGGACATATTTCCCCTGAGGAGTTATCCTCTTTATCTGCATCATCGTCCTCGATTCCTTCAATAAAATCAATTGATGTGGTATCTGTATCTTCATGGAAAAAGGAGGTTTCATTGGACGTAAATGAAGTCGCAGATAAACTGGAAAACCCTTCAGAAACATTTGCACCGGCTGCTCAGGCAGAAGATTTGTTATCCCAACGTCGGTTACCAAAACCTGTGCCGCAAACGTCTGGCACTAATCAACTGACAAAATTACCACCGAAAACAATGAAGTCCAGACAGAAAAAGACACATTTATCTAAATCAGCAAAAAACGCACCGAATGTGACCAAACCAGAAGCGATTAGTTTTCCAACCCAAATACTGGAAAATGTAAAGGAACCGGAAATGCTGATTTCTAAAGCTCAATTACTAGTCATATCCCCCACGAAATCGGAGCCATCGTTTCAAAAGCCCTCAAAGTTGCCAAAGACCCCATCCGCCAAACATTCATCGTTATCAAAATCAACTCTCAATTCACCTGCTCCGGCAAGAACTTCTATAGACGAAACAGCAAAGATCACGACCACTACCATTTCGAAAGAGAAACACCCAACAACAGACTCATCAAAAAGATGGGAAAAGAAAGTAGAAGTTGTGGAGCCTCCGGTTGAAGATGCCAGTTTCGTTACACCCCTGCAAACACCTGCTTTTTTCATTGCAGATGATAATCTTAAGTTGAGTGAACCTACTCTATCACGGCCAGTTTCGATAGACAGTACTAAAACTGAAGTTTCAGAGGACGAAACCTTGTCCAAAGCGACAAACATGCCAAAGAAGAAATCTTTGAAAAGACAGTCTACCGGGCGAGAACAGACTATCTATGGTACAGTAGAACTAAAGCAAAGACAAAGTGTGTTTCAGAACGATCCAGAGGGTCGCAAAATGGCCGCGTTTCTTAAGTCTATAAGAGAAAAAATTAATGCTGAAAAAGGGATCTCCCCTGAGTCTGATGAATTCTATGAAAATATCCGTCGAAACTTGATTACGATTGCCACCAATATGGAAACCAATGCGCTTCCCAAATTAACTATGACCGAAATACCCCTTTTTGTGCATTTACCGGCAGAAGAACAGCTCACAATTTATCCTGATTTATCCGATATTCTGCTGAGGAGTGCCACCCCAATCGACTTGGCTCCTGAACCGACGGAACTTCCGTGTGCGCGCACCACAGACATCGGTTCAACCATAGAGGAATCAACAGTTCGATCACCTCGGTTCGACCAGTCAGTTACACATACGCATTTGCCCTCACCGAGCATTTCTATCCGATATAGTGACAATCTATTGCAAGTGTATACAGACAGAGAAATGGGAATCAGTGTGCAAGGATTGGAGTTGGACAAGAAAGAGCGGCATTCATCCATTCCGTTTGGTCGGGCAAGCAGCAGTAAGGAGGATGTTACAAACGTGTTGCACACAATGATGGAAGGAGTATACACAATAGGCCATGTGAAAATACCCTGTAGTCCAAAATCCACGGATGTTGTTCTGCCAGTCGGTGAACTTGTCCCATCCGATATGTCTCCTTCACGATTGGTAAGTCATGTATCATATGCATTGTTGTAATAATCCGGTAGATTGGAGAGCATATAAGGGTTTTTCATTCATTTTCAAGAAAATACCACAAGAAAAATAGATTTTGAAACTTGGTCCTCAAACGATTCGCCTCTATTGGGTGATACGAGTCCTCTTTCTGAAAGATATAGTACCTTAAATTCAGATCGATTTTTCTTATCATTTTTCAAAGAGGAGAGCCATTGTAGATGGTGAATGTTTGGATTAGCCCATTCGGTTTTTCACAGGCATCAGGTCTTGTTGATGATGTTGCTTTTGGGTTTCCCTCTTTAGGAGATTGTTAATTCCCCACTGTTTGTATGCATTTAAATAGGATAGAAATGTTTGTGATAACCAACAAAGAGCACTGACAGCTGCTTCGTTCTGTTTGGGACTCGTCAGCAGTGGGTACCTTTGTTGTGTCCCTGTCAGGACTCGAACCGCGATTCTACGGGCTGGGGGTCACTCTTGATCCTGGAGTTGACAACTCCTCTTTGCTAGAGGCATGAGTGAACCGGTTCATGATATGTTATATGAATTGCTCGTATTTTCTATTTAGAAGGAAGGAAGCGGATCATCTTCTGAAACAGGAAAATTAGATTGGTTACTATCACCTCGGAGCCTCCCGCCGGTATCGTACTTTGTTGTTTGTCAATGCAATTGGGTGCTTGTGTGACAAGCAGGCTGGTTTTATAACAGGTCAAGACAAATTTGAAAATGATTGTTAGAATACGGAGACACGTCGAACCATTGTTTTCAATTTCATTAGCACAAAAGAGGCACTTGATTTACATTACCCCGATACTAGCTCACCTCAAAGATTGTGTCTGGGATTTTGTTCCACAATTGCCAACATACCAGGTAGCATTGGAGCATTCCGCTCTATCTCGACCGAGTTCACCATGGAAGGTGGTATTGCTTAGGGTTGCCATTTTTCCTCAAATTTCTCCCCCTCTCTCCCTTCGACTTCACGATGGATAGGATTCTTGAAGCTATTGTCATCGTGCGTACTTAGCAAATTTGATATGCTTCCATACCGAAGCAACTCTGAACTAGATTACCCTGATGACTTTGCAGCACAGAATGAAGATCCGGTTTACATGTGTTCCGTTTGAGTATCTTGTACCATAACAGTGTAAATTTTTGTTCCGGAACTGGGTTGGTCCAGTTTCTAGTATCATTATATATATATATATATAGAGAGAGAGAGAGAGCATATAAAGGGTGCTACGCAAGCGGCTTCATATCATGTGACGAACAAAGTTCAGATAGTTTTTTGGCACATGTACGGAAGGCTCGGGTTACTAACTTGAGACATCCATGGCGCTCCGGTACCGACTTAATTTCTTGACCAAATTGATTAATCTGTAATTGTTTCATCATCATCATAATGGTACTACTATCAGCTTTTACTTCCTCCCTTCTACTCTGTCACTCGCACAGGCGGCCAAAAATAGCAAAAGAGGAAAACGCCTCAAAAAATCACAAGGATAAAAGATGTATAAACAGAAGAACGATTCAAGGGTAAAATATCCAATAAAAGGGATAGAATGCATTATCGAAAAGCACCTGTGAAACATGACAGCAGGTAGAGACCGTAGGATTGGAAAACGCTTGCGATATTTGTGAAGTTACAGTGATATGGTGATGTAAAATAGAGGGAGTTAATGGATCGGTTGGTTTCATTGAAAATCAGTACGGTATCTATATATCATCAGTCTAAGGTCACGTCGGTTACCGTTTACATTTTAATACGGAAAATTGGAACATACCAGTTCAAGGACATCCCCTTTTATATTCTTCTGTTTGACCTAAGGACTATAGGTCTAATCGTTTCCTTGAGGAGAACGGTGAATATATGACGTTACATAACATCGCGTAATATTTCTGGTTTCTAGGTCAATGGAAAAACATCTATAGGCTCAAATTTCACGTCATAATTAGAGGTCAGATGTTGAAAAGAAAGAGCCTTTAGGATACTGTGTGGAGATCGTCCTGTGAGCCAAATATTTGCACTCAGTCAACTGAGCTCATGGTAACCCGTTTTTTTGGGAATTGGGCAATCAAATAGTGTGTTGATGGACGATCTACTTTGATCATCGTTAAGCAGATAAGCAAGAGGTTATCTTCACTAGAACCTAGTGGTGGCATCGAACGCTCTGTAGGTGTGTATAGATGTGGCGGATTCTCCCGATGTTAGTTAGCTCAGTCATATAGCAAGAAAAGTGGAATTAGTTGTTCCTTTTATTCTCTCTCGTTCCATTTCTTTCAGGCATTGTCTGTTGCGGAAAGCCAAAAGTCGTAAGTCAGTCTCGTTTCATTATAGGATTTGTGGTTGTTACCGACCGAAGAGCTACAATAATTTCGACCCGAATGATGACGAAGAAGAATGGTGAAAAATGACGACCAATCACTTTTTGTCTTTCTTATGAACCGAAACTGAGAGCAGCATACATCAATAAGAATTCTTATTTCCACAATATTTAGGGGTCGCAGCAGATTTTCAGGTCTCAGCGACAGCGAAGAATTTGATCCGAACTGCTTGAAGAAACCACCAAAATGAAGTGATTAATTACATCGCAAAAACGTGACTGTGTAATTTCTAATGTGCTTAGACGGTATTTAATGGCCACGGAGAAGCTAGTGTAAGTCCTCCGTATCCATGAAGCTAGTGATTAAAAGTCAGCTTGGTGGACAGACGGCAAAGAGATAAAATATCTTCACCCAGTTCGGTGAATACTGTGGTAAGATTGATCATTGATGGATATGTTGTTATTGCACCAAGTTTCCTTTTTTGTGTTGGTGCTAAATTATTGAAATTAATGTAATACACTTTCCGAGTTGTTTTTCTGTAGACTTTCCGGTGGATAGATCCGTCCGGGTTTCTGCAGGAAGGAAACATCTAGAAACGGAATTCAGTCGTTCGTTTTGTTTACGATAATGAAGCTGATGGTGCAATACCTAACGAGACTAGCACAAAGAATCTGCATCCCAGATAACCTATTCGAAGAAATGAAATAACTAAAAAATATATGTATTACAGAAGAATGATTATTCGGATTGTATTCTTGAATGCACCTAACACAAACTCAGGAGAAACAAAAATGTTTACAGATAATAGGAAACCCCTATACCTGCGATTACTGTACAAAAGTGACAATATAGCGGACTGGTTCGCACAAACGGTGAGCCAAATGATAAGTGGACGATTCACTCTGGCAGCATTGTGGATCAGTTTCTTTGCATTGCCGGCAACTCGTTTCTATCTCAAAGACAGATTATCCCTTTCAGGCCACTTCTACGTGCATCTACTTGTTTTGCTTAGTGCTGTGGATCCAGTTACATAGGTCGTACAACAAGACAATCATCAAATAGAATAAGGGAACACCACTCTTGTTGGTTGGCACAAAGAGAAATGGGGACTGAAACGCGCGATATGCCAACACCTGTTTGACACTAACCACCAATTGGATGTAAGTCGGGCGTTGAAAACCTCCTATCATATTCCCCCGTTATCGTCTCAATCATCCGACTGTGTACGACTGAAGCACTCGGAATCAGAAGCGTTTCGTTCATGCATTATCTCTATCATAGCCAAGTGCCAAGCGACAAACTAATTCGAAGGTGGTAACTGGAAGAATGTCGTAACCAAGATAAGGCTCAATCAAAATGTTAACACACGTAACATAACTATGTACATAAGGTGGCAAGGTCTGGTCTACCTTGCACTGGATCAAAAAAATGGAATGCCAATCTTCACAGATACGGTGTCAAATAGCCGTGAGTGAACGAAAGACGATAGGTACAAAAGCGGGGAAAATAAAACAGTCAACTTCTGGGAGTAACAATTTATTTGTTTGTTTACTGCACGCCATTTTGAGCTTCTTTCGTTTTTGTTTATTTCTGGGATTCCGCAGATAACGGTTGTCGAAGACTGATAGTCGCCGGACGTGATCTGCTCGGAGAGGCCGGGTCTCGCAGCCATAGAGCTACACTGTGCGCACTGTTGCGCAATACACACACTTTCAGTGGAAGGGATATGTCGCGCCGGCGCCAGAGATGCCGCAGACTAGTAAACGCTAATCTAGCATTGATCACGCGCTGAGAGATCTATCTCCTCACCCACAACTCCGTCAGCCGTTATGCAACTCCCAAGGTAGACAAAGCTTTCGACTACTTCCAGAGTGTCACTACCCAACGAAAGTGAAGTTATAGGTTCTTTGCAACAACACTTTGCACTTTGAAGGTGCTTTATTCATACATTTGTAAATGACCGGTTGATAAACTATCGGCAAACAGCTTATTTCACCTATCGGGACTTCATTGTCAGCTGTCTGCCAAATAAAGACAAAAACTAAAATAAACTGAACAAACTGAATTTCTAAATCCACGTTCAGAACTAACATCAATATACTTTCGTTTTGCTTTTTTTATCACAAAAATATTAGCACGACTATATCAAACGAATGTTTTCACACAGAAATTGCCCCAGGGGTTTTCTAGATCACTTATTCAAGAGAAGTTTGGCGTCTTTTGCAAATCATTCATTCATTCTACATTCGCATTGAAATTGGTGTCCAGACCAACCGTGGTGCTTCAAATGAAATTTGTTTGGGAGAATTGATTCATGTATGAAAATATATTCGTCAAGGCGAGCTTGTGCATCATTCATCAATGAAAGTTCTTGTGTTGAAAGTTCTTGTAATACATTTGTTTTATCCAACATTTTGGGAGCTATCAGTGTAGTGCACATTTCCTGAGTTCACTGAAATTCAAACATGAGCATGTTGTTATCCCAGTTGTCTACTGTTTTCTATTATAACTCTTCCACCTTCTTCTCACTTTGCTCTGTATTTCGGCCCACCTGCCCCATATTATTGTTATTTTTATTATTTTTTTGGCATTGGCATCGTGCTTGTTTACAAACCGGTGTAATATATATACCAATGGTTTCTAATCGAACATGGCAACCAGGCTATGCCATGGCCTAGAGGGTTAAAGAGATTGTACTCGGATCTGGCTTTCATCGGGGCTTCCCGGCTCCCTGGCTGGG